CCTAAACGCTCCAGCCATTAAAGGGAAGTGACGCACACGAGTTCGACCAAGGGAAGGAAGCATCACAGTCGATAGGGGAGTCCTCTGTCCCGTTTTTAAAGCTTTAGTTCCTGTCCATTTTCTGTATTCTGTATAAGCTCTATATTTCTGGCTTTCGGTTTTGATTTGTGCAGTCCACATATAGTTGAAATCATTTATTAACTTGTATTGTACTCTGCTATGTTTGGTATATCATGTTAATGTCATTGGTACATGTTTGATTACAAGTTGGTGATGCTGAATTTATGTGATTATGTTTAAACTCTATCATCGAGGTTGGAGCTCTGGGATTAGCATTGAACTGTCATTGTGTATGGGTTGCTGGAATTCTGATGTTGTGTTTGGAGTCTAATATTATGAGCGTGTTTACTGTGTATTGATGTTTGCATTAGTCAGTGAATTCACAACAGGAACAATGATAGAAAAGAAAAATTAGGGATATTCATGTATATACTTACTTAAAAAAAATATAAAGCCGGTTATTTACGGCAATAAATTTATAATCTCCTTCCAAATAAAATTTATAGTGTGGGCTATTTATTTTCTTTCCAACGTTTTTATGGGATTTTCTATTATAGTTTGTGTTTATATGGCTAATTCTAATAATTTTCTATCTTCAAATTTCCTATTTCATACGTTTTTATTTCTCGTTTTGAGTAATGCATATTTGAATTATCTGGTGGAGAAAAATAATGATATTTATATTTATTTAATTTTTCTAGCGATTAACACATGTTCATGCATGCATGCATTCATTCAAAGAATTTATTAAGATATTCAATTTCATCAGATCAGAAACTCATTATTTCTCTAGATTCATTAATTAATATATTTTATTTACTTGATAGATTGATGAATTTAATAAGTCACGTGTGTTAGGAACATCATGCATGAAATTGCAATCTACTCCACCACTTTCAATATGGAAGAGAAATAGTTAATAATACATGCTTTTACCTAAGAATGTTCCTCGGTACTCAAATAGATAGATGATTAGTGAATAGCATGCAACATGTCTCAAGGGTATAAACAACAAATGTTTCGGTCTTATGCAAATGAATTGTATAATGTAAATTTAGTGCCACGTATGATGCCAATACAAATACTGTATCCATTAATTCAATCGATGACTAAGACGCAGACAATATCCTTCAATACTTGACAATATTTGCTATCTCTATTTTAAAAGTTTCGAAAATTGTTGCTCGTCCCATTGCTACAACGGTTGGTAAAAATTATCAATGGAATTTATCCGTCGATACAAGAGCCATTAAGATTCGTTCAACAAATTCACTTTTCATTTTCACAATGTCATCAATAAATGGTGACACTCTTGCCATATTTTTTAAAATTTTGTACTTTTAACTATAAAATCCAACTTAGGCTACTTTATTTCCACCATATGTTTTATATTTTAAGAAGAATATCAGTTTTTTTTAGAACCAAAATGTCCTTAAGAGTACTTAAAATGCTGTATGTATTTTCTACTCTTTGGATTCCTTGATTCATTAAAAATTCGGATTCGATTCTGTAAAAGGCAAAAGATTTTTGCAAGATACAAAGTTGGAATGCAGCCGTGGCCACCAAAAGTTTCCATTAGTAGATAAGTTTAGAATAAGTAACCTTTATTTATCAGAATTGAAAACAAGTTCACATGTTTTGATAATGAGATCATAATTACGATTAAAATCTGGGTTCGGGTCTCCATATGGAGACGAGGATGAAATTCGAAAAAAGGAAAAAAAAAATTACCAATTAAAATAAGTAAAATTTACGCAAAAGTAAAATATATTTATACAGGGGCTGACGTAGAAGTTAAAAGTTAGGGGGCACAATCGAACTTACAAATAAATTAGAGAAAAATTTACAATCGAAAATTTACGTCCAAAAAAATCATACCCCGTGTAATTTTGCATCCGAAAATTTACATGGGATGTGATATTTTCAGATGTAAAATTTCGAAAAAAAATTATGTCATATTCCATATAAAATTTCCTAATAAAAGGATGAAAATTACATTGATAAATTTGTATTGCAAAAATCATAAATGTTAATGAAATAATTGAATTTTTTTAAAGAAAATATGAGTTAAACGTCTTTTTTTAAAACTCACGTTTAACGCATTTTTAACTATTTTTGATATCTGTTTGGATTATTTGATATACCTATGATGTAGTCCTCGAAATAAGTTTTGAGATGACATAAGTAATTTGAAGATTCGATTAGCGTACGATCGTCAAAGAATTTTTAAAGTTAGCGCATTATCGAAATTTTCGAAATACTAATTTTGAATAGTTTACTTTGGCAAGTCGTAGCATTTACTACGATTGATCGTTTCATACGCCATTAACGACGTAGAAAATTAAACCGTGAACACTTCGAAATTGTATTAAGAATGTAATATTTCGTCCTTATTTGATGGAGAGTTAATATTTTGTTAAAATGCCAGAGAGAAAAAGAGAAAAAATAAAATTTATTGTGATTTTTCCCCTATTTGATGAAGATTAAAATCAATTTTTAAGTAAATTTTGATAAAAGTTAAATAGTTATGGATTTCATGAAATATGTTATTAAAATTAATTGTTAACTTTGATTTAGATTAAAATTTATATATATATATGCCCCCTTTTGGTGCACATTTTGAAGGTAAGAATGCATTTTTACTGTTGATGTGATGAGTAATATGTGGTTGAAAAAGAAGGAAACGTTATTGATGTGATGGAAAATATTATTTTATTGAAGAATGTGTGGTTAAAAATGAGTAGAAGAATGAGAATGAAAAAAATAATGTGAACCAAATAGAGCATATATATAAAACACAAAAAACTCAGAAGTTGGGGGCACGTCCCCGCCCCCCCCCAAAGCCCCCGGGTCCACCCCTGTATTTATATATATTAAAGGAGGCTCAGATCAAGAGAGGGACAAGAGAAGTAGAGGTTGATGGAAAGAATGAATTTATTGATGTATAAAAATTTTGGAATTACAAAATGAGAATTGAAAATTACAACTGAAAAGATTTTTAAAAAAAGCTTAAAAATTAAAACAATAATTTTAAAACTTTCTCAAAGTGTACTATTTCCCGCTCCATTACACCTGTTGTGTGAACACGGAATTAGATCTTGAATGACAATTGATTGTCTTTGTCTTCCTTATTTAAAAGAAACGGTCTTTTGAATAATTGAAGCTGTTTTTGACGATTCTTCTTCATCCTTTCGGCAAAATAATTGTCAAAAGCAACTTCAAATTATTCAAAAGACGGTTGCTTTTCAAAAAGGAAGACAGAGACAATCAATTGTCATTCAAGATCTAATTCCGCATTCAAACAACAAGTTTAATAAAGTGGATTATAGTAATACATTTCAAGAAAGTTTTAAAATTATCTGTGTAATTTTTAAGCTTTTTTAAAAAAATATGTTCAATCTTATAATCTTCAATTTTCAATTCTCATTTTGTAATTCCAAAATTTTTATACATCAATTAATTTATTCTTTCCATCAATCTCTACTTCTATTGTCCCTCTCCTGTGACCCGGCCTCTTCGAAAAAAGAAAAAGAAAAAAGTGACCCATTTATGAATTGATTTTCAGCATTTGGAATATGTCCAATCGTGGTGTGAAATGATATATCTAAAACTACTTTTACATCTTTATTTAAATCTCGATGGATCTAAATTAAAATTTTGCTCTAATAGAAATATCTAAATCCAATTTTTACCTTTTGTGAATGAAAAAAAATATGTAAACTCACATCTTTTTTTACATTTTACGCCGAAAAATGTAATATGCATTTTATTTGCATCTCTTCATTGGAGGGGTTTTCGTCCACTTTGAAGATCCAAATCACAATTTAGATATATTTTATATCATGGATGCTCTTACAAAGACTTCAATAACCATTATATTTTGTCTCGAGTATCGACGTATCTTCAAATACGAAGTAAGCTTGACATTTGAAGTAATGAATTGAATTATCGTTTATGAATTTCGATCCTTTTGAGTATTTTATTTTACACATTATATCACTTAAAAGTTTTCTAGTTAATTTCTATACGAATACTTTGGTCACAAGATTTCAATCGATTAAAGATTATATGAATCTCAATTATTGACTGATATTAAATCAATTTTATGAAAATGACTAGGAATATGCCATTAAAAGATAATGTTTTCATCCTAACGCATGAATAATGATTAGTGACAACGATCGGCAACACAACAATCATGCTTAAGCTGTTAAACATAAAAAGTAAAGATAATTAACCACAAATGCCAGGTTGCCTCGTCAAGTTGCTGAGCCCTATATCATAAATGCAAAATTGATTTGACAAATATGGCCTCGAGGAATCTTGTATTTGTAGTAGAGTTTGGTAGGGGTGGTTAAGTAGATAAATGGAGATTAATTCTAATTCCAGCACGAGGCAAAAAAATAAAAAGGGAAACGTCCCCACTACATAATTTTGCTCTGGTCATCTACACAAATAGTATTTAATGGACAGGATAGAATGTAGAACAATGCTGTATAATGTCGGTTTGGGTGATAGACATTTCTTATTTAGCCCATGTTTTATTTTGCTAAAAATTTATGAATATCATAAAATATGTGATTAAAATTGATTATTTAATTTAACTTTAATTTTTAT